AAGCGCTGAACAAACTGCTGGCACCATATAAATCCTGTATAATAATAATACCAGCACTGCAGTATGACTTGGTGACGTGGCGAGTCCCATAAGTCCAGTACAAGCCGGTGCAGTGGCGAGCACAAGTATTGACCCGCAGCCACCAAGAATTCGCACACAGGCCCATAGAGCTCCTAGTATCCTTCAGGATGTGCTTGCAAATCCCGACTGACAGCCCACAAATTCTGCAGCACCCGTACTTCCCCCATTCACTGCCCAACCCGGAATTTAGGTGGAAATAGCAAATTTAACTACTCCCTTTGAATTTTGGAGCTGTTTTCATGGAATATCTGTATGCGTTGATTCTGGATCAAAGCAATTTATATGCACAACAATTTATTGTCGCCAACCCAAATTCAAACCTTGCCAGACCACTCATTACGGTTTCTGAATTTACATTTTTTTGGGTCTAACCCTCAACATGGACTAAAAGAAATGAATTGCGGTTGTATTGGTCTGCAGACCCGATTCATCATATGCCGTGTTCTCTGCTGCCATGGCCAGGCATAGATATGAGAGTATAATGTGTTTTATGCATTTCAACGACAATACACTCTGTCATCCTCTGGGTGACCCTGAATTTGATTGGCTCTACAAAATTCAGCTGCTCGCAAATCACCTTAACCAAAAATTTGCAGATGTCTATACTGCCCAGCAGGGGCGGACTGACAACTCATGGGGCCCCTGGGCAATAGGGGATCATGGGGCCCCTGTGTCCTTGCCCAAACTCAAAAAAGACTATGAAAAAGGTACCAGGGGCATCTCATGGGGCCCCCTACTAACCCCGGGCCCTCGGGCAGTGCCCAAGTTTCCAAATGGTCATTCTGCCCCTGCTCCCCAGCAAAACATCTGCGTTGATGAGTCCCTGATTAATTTTTATGACCGCCTTGCATTCAAACAATTTCTCCCCAGCAAGCGTGCCAGATATGGGGTCAAGATGTAGAAGACCTGTGAGAGAACAACAGGCTATACTTATAAGTTTCGGATTTACAAGGGAAAAGATAGTCATGTGGAGCCCCCCGGATGCCCAGACTACATGGGGAGCACTGGCAAGATAGTTTGGGACTTGATGTCATCCTTTTTCCATATGGGGTACCACTTATACGTGGACAATTTTTATTCAAGCATGCCACTCTTTAAACATTTGTTTAATCGTGGAACTGGTGCATGTGGCAAAGTGTGACCTAATGTGTGCCCACAATTAGAAGTGGGTGGATGCAGGGAGGAATATTCTAATGGTGGGCATACCACACACTTTTTTTGGCAGAGATTTCTTCTCTGTTTTTCATTCAGTCCACAGGCTGCATACAAAAAAAAAACATAGCATATACACCCAACAAGGACCAGCGACGTACTGGTACATCACTGGACTTTGAATGGTTATACCAGGATGATGCCTACAGCTGCAGGCATCATCTTGGTATCATTTTTTTCAGCCGGCGATCGGCTTTCATGTAAAAGCAATCCTAGTGGCTAATTAGCTGCAGGATTGCTTTTACAAGCAGCGGGATATGATGCCCCCCCTCCCCCACTGCCTTCCACTGCCTTCTTGGGCAATCCCGTGCCATCGGGGGAACCTGAGAATGCAGCCGGTGTTTCTGCCAGCTGACAATAGAGCTGATTGGAGACCAGAGTGGTGCGAATCATCTCTGCCAATCATCATATAGTCTAAGAATTCGGAAGCTACGAGATTTCATCACTTCAGTCTTGCAGGATATAAAATCTCCTCTGTAAATCTAAAAGGGTAGCTTTTAAAGGCTTTTAAAATGTTGCCTATGGATATTAAAAATGTATGAAGTTTGTCGCCATTGCACAGGGCATGCGCAGTTTTAAAGCATGTCATGTTTGGTATCTATTTACTTGGCATACCATCATCTTTTATATCTTACCAAATAATTGGCCAATATGTTTTTGTGCATTAAAAGTAAAAAAAAGTGTATTTTTTTTTTAAAATTGCTTTTGAAAAATCGCTGCGCGAGTACTATGTGCCATAAAAAATTGTAGTACCCACCATTTTATTCACTAGGGTGTCTGCTTTAAAAAAATATATAATGTTTGGGGGTTTAAATTAATTTCCTAGCAAAAAATACAGATTTTTTTCATGTGAGCAAAAAGTGTCAGAAAAGGCTTGATCTTCAGGTGGTTAGAAGAGTGAGTGATGTGTGGCATACACTTCTAATGCTGATCATAAAACGCCCCCCCACCCCCCAAAATGACACCCCAAACAATTTGCTGAGAGGCATGTTGAATCAATAGAAGAATTAATTTTTTTACCACAAGTTTTTGGAAAATGACAATTTTTACACAAAATTGTCAGTTAAATGATTTACTGCTCACACATGCCATGGGTATTTGTGGAATTACTCCCCAAAATACATTCTGCTACTTCTCCCGAGTATGGGGATACCACATGTGAGAGACTTTTTGGCAGTCTAGCCAAGTACAGGACCCCAAAATCCAATAAGCACCTTCAGGCTATTAAAGGACTTTATTTCCTCATTACACTTCCAAACTACCAATCACAGTTTCGGAGGCCCTGAAATGCCAGGATAGCACCTTACCCCCCCAAATGACCCATTTTTGGAAAGTAGACACCCCAAGGAATTTAATAAGATGCACGGTAAGTATTTTGCAGATCTCATTTGTTGCCACAAGTTTTTGGAAAATGAAGAAAAAAAACAAAAACATATTTTTTCTATTCTTTTTTTTTATATTTCAAAACCTTGTGAGAAAAAATAAGATCTGCAAAATACTCACCATGCCTCTTTTTAAATTCCTTGGGGTGTCTACTTTCCAGAAAGGGGTCATTTGGGGAGCGGGGGTTGGTGCTCTCTTGACATGTCAGGGCCTTGGAAACTGTGATAGGTATTGAGGAAGTGAAAGGAGGAAGTTACGCACCTTCAGGCTTTCAAAGTGGTCATTAGATTTCAGGCTCCTGTATGTGGCTAGGCTCCATGGCGGACTGAACATTTGAAAACTCGGGCACTGCCCGAGGGCCCGGGGTCAGTAGGGGGCCCCATGAAATGCCCCTGGTACGTTTTTCATAGGCTTTTTTGAGTTTGGGCAAGGACACAGGGGCCCCATGATCCCCTATTGCCTGGGGGGACCATGAGTTGTCAGTCCACCCCTGCTAGGCTCCCAAAAAGTCTTACACGTGGTATCCCCATACTCAGTAGAAGTAGCAGAATGTACATTTGGGGTGTAATTCCACATATACCCATGGCTTGTGCGAGAAATAAATCATTTAAATAACAAATTTGTGTAAAAAAAAAATGTTTTTGTCATTTTCCAGAAACTTGTGGAAAAAAAATAAATCTTACATGGACTCAATATGCCTCTCAGCAGATAGCTTAGGGTATCTACTTTCCAAAAAGGGGTCATTTGAGGGTGTTTGTACTATCCTGGTATTTTAGCACCTCAAGAAATGTGATGAGCAGTCAGAAAGTAAAAGCTTGGTAAATTCCATTATCTATACCATAGTTTGTAGACGCTATAACTTTCACACAAAGCAATAAATATACACTTACTGGGATTTTTTTAACCATAAGCATGTAGCAAAATACATTTTGGCCTAAATTTATGAAGAAATTTTAGTTTTTTTTGGATATTTTTTATGACCGAAATGAGAAAATATTGTTTTTTTTTAAATTTTTTTCTTCAAAAATTTTTTTGTTTATAGCGCCAAAAATAAAAAGTGCACAGGTGATCAAATACCACCAAAAGAAAGCTCTATTTGTGTGAAAAAAGACATAAATTTCATTTATGTACCGTATTGCATGACCGTGCAATTGTCCTTTAAGCTAGCGCAGTGCTGTATAGCAAAAAAAATGGCGTAAATTGCAGTATCTATGCCATAGTTTGTAGACGCTATAACTTTCACACAAAGTAATCAATATACACTTATTGGAATTTTTTTTAATCAAAAACATGTAGCAGAATACATTTTGACCTAAATTTATAACTAACTTTGAGTTTACTATATATTTTTTATAGCTGAAAGTAAAAAATATTGTTTTTCTTCAAAATTTTCGGTCTTTTTTTGTTTATAGCGTGAAAAATAAAAAGCGCACAAGTGATCAAATACCACCGAAAGAAAGCTCCATTTGTGTGAAAAAAAGGATGTAAATTTTGTTTGGGTGCAGTATTGCATGACCGCGCAATTATAAGTTGAATTAGTGCAGCGCCGAGTAGCAAAAAAGAGGCCTGGTCATTAACCACTTGCCTACCAGGCACTTATACCCCCTTCCTTACCAGGCCAATTTTCAGCTTTCAGCGCTGCCGCACTTTGATTGACAATTGCGCGGTCATGCAACATTGTACCCATATGAAATTTTGATCATTTTTTTTCTCACAAATAGAGCTTTCTTCTGGTGGTATTTAATCGTCACTGGGCGCTTTACTTTTTGCGCTATAAATTAAAAAAGTGCAAAAAATTTGAAAAAAAAAAAAGTTTCTTTGTTTCTATTATAAAATTTTTCAAACAGGTATTTTTTCTCCTTCACTGATGTACGTTGATGAGGCAGCACTGATGGGCACTGATAGGCGGCACTAATGGGCACTGATAGGCAGCACTAAAGGGCACTGATAGGCAGTACTAATGAGGTGGCACGGATAGGCGGCACTGATAGACAGCACTAATGAGGTGTCACGGATAGGCGGCACTAATATGCAGCACTGATAGGCGGCACTGATAGGTGACACTGATGATGAGTACTGATAGACGGCACTGACTGGCATCACTGCTGGGCACTGACTGGCGGCACTGACTGGCACAACCCCTGGGCACTGACTGGTGGCACTGACTGGCAGTACTGCTGGGCTGCACTGGTGGGTGGCACTGGTGGGCAGCACTGGTGGGTGGGCACAGGTGGGTGGCACTGGTGGGCACAGGTGGGTGGCACTGCTGGGCACAGGTAGGTGGCACTTCTGGGCACATGTGTGTGACACTGCAGAGTGGCACAGGTGGGTGCACTGCTGGGCACAGGTGGGTGCACTGCTGGGCACAGGTGGGTGATCTGCTGGGCACAGGTGGGCGGAGCTAGTGGGCGCACTGCTGGGCACAGGTGGGCAGAACTTGCGGGTGGCATTGCTGGGCACTGATCATCAGGGCACTGATCATCAGTGCCCTGATGATCGGTGCCGATCCCCGCTCTGACAACTGCCGGTTCTCGGCAGTACTTTCCTCACGATCTGACAGCGTGAGGAAAGTGCAGCTGAGAACCGGCACTTGCATTTCCCTGTGATCAGCGTGTCATTGGACACCGCTGATCACGTGGTAAAAGGCCGGTATGATTGGCCTTTTACCACATCACGTGATCAGCTGTGTCCGTAGGACACAGCAATCACGGAGATCGCCGGGTGCGCGCCCCCTGGGGCGCGCAGGAGAGTGCGTTCTGGGAGGACGTCATATGACGTCCACTCAGAACTGGCCGGCCGCAGTTTAGCCGTCATTCGGCTATCTGCGGTCGGCAACTAGTTAAGGGGGGGGGGGTATATCCTCAGTAGTGCAAGTGGCTAAAATGGTGTTTTGAAAAACAATAATAAAATATTTAAATTAAAAAAAAAAATTAAAGAGAATGAATCGATAGCCCTGGTTCACGTGTCCTTCTGGGCGGCTATCGTTCCTTTTGTATCCTTGATGAATCAGGTTTTTTTTTTATTCCTCACCTCTCCTGCCAGGTCATTCTTACTGCCTAAAAACTTCCTCCCAAGCACATTCCGTTCCCACTCATGGTTTCTTCCGCATGTTTCAAGCTTAAATGTGCACTTAAATAGGCTGCCATGCATGCCACAAAAGCCCCATAGTAACAATAGAACATGCACAGAAAATATATGCATTTTCTTGCAGGTTGTCCTGTGTTCGGAAATGTGCAGATGTGAATGAATGGTAACCCAAGCACGTTTTCTGTGCAGGTTGCCCTCATTCGGAGATGCGTAGATGCTAATGCAGTCTAAATGGTAACACAAGTCTGACGCACATTGCTACACATTTTCATAATGCATGGCAAAGCATGCATTTTCCTGAGGGTTGATGTGCATTCAGAAATGCACAGATGCAAAGGAATGCGCAACGAGCATTGCTGCACATTTTTGAACAGCATGACATGGTGTGCATTTTCTTGTGGGTTGCCATGCATTCAGAGAGGCGCAGATGTGCAATGCACGTTGCTATGCATCTTCAAAACACACGGCAAAACGTGTATTTTTTGTGCAAGTTGCTGTATGTTCAGAAATGCTCAGATACAAACGAATGGTAACACGAGCGCACTGCACATTGCCGTGGGTTTTCTTGTGGATTGCTGTGCAATTGGAAATGTGCATATGTGAACGAATGACAACGCATGGACGCTGCCACACGTTTTCTAAACACGATAAAGTGCATGTTTTTTGTGTAGGTTGCTGTGTGTATGGAAATGCATAGATACAATGAATAGTAAACACAAGCAAAATGCATGTTGTGTGCTTTCGAAACACATGGCAAAGTGTGTGTGTTTTTGTGCGGGTTGCTGCACACATTCAGCAAATAATGTAATGCAGCCATGCATTTTCTCTGGAATGGTGGAAATGTGCAAACGTGTCATGCATTGCCGTTTTTCAGAACGCATGACAAAGCACACATTTTCGTTGCTATGCGTTCATAAATGTGTAAATGAGAACACAGCCTAAATGGCAACACTAATGACTAATGACACACATTGCTTGAAAGGCATGGCAAAGCATGTTATTTTTATTGCAGGTTGCCTTGCGTTCAGAAATGCACAGATACAAACGAATAGTAATGCAAGCAAGCCACATGTTGCCGCATGTCTTTTAATCTCCCGCCAAAGCATGTGCTTTCTTGTGAGTTGCCTAACATTTGGAAACATGCACATGCGAACTAATGCTAACTCAAGTGTGATGTGCGTTGTCATGCATTTTCAAATTGTGCGGCAAAGTGTGCGAGTTGGCGCGCATACTGCGCGTTGCTATGTGTTTTTTGAAGCACACTATGAAGTGCGTGTTTTCTATGCTGGTTGCATTTGGACACATGTAAATGAGAACCTAAAAGGTAATGCAAGTGTGACATACATTGCTGCACATTTTCTAAACACACGGCAAAGTGTGTGTTTTTTTTATTATTGCGGATTGCAGTGTGTTTCGAAACAGGCAGATGCAAACGAATGGTAGTGCAAACGTGATACGCATTAGCACACATTTTTGAAGAACAGGGCAAAGCGTGCATTTTCTTGTGGGTTGCCATGTGTTTGGAAACGGGCATATGAGAATGCATCCTAAATGGATGAAAGTGTGGCTTACATTGCTATGCACTTTAAAAATGCACAGCAGAGGTGTGTGTTTTTTGTGTGGGTTGCCATGCATTCAGAAACAGACAGATGCAAACCCAGCCTAAATGGCACTGCAGGAGTGATGCGTGTTTTGTGGTCATCGCCATGCATTCTCTGTGCGGATTACATGAGCAAGAATGCATGAGTATCCGATTAGCAAGCAGCGGTTTGGGAAGAGGAGGATCAAGGTTCCTCTCTGCAAAACACAGAACAGGTAAGTATAACATGTTTGACATTTTAAAAAAAATAATAAAATTGCTTTTAGAATCACTTTAACCACTTTCCCTCCAGAGGATTTACCCCCCATAATGACCAGGCCTCTTTTTGCTATTCGGCGCTGCACTAATTCAACTGATAATTGCGCGGTCATGCAATGCTTTACCCAAACTAAATTCACATTGATTTTTCACACAAATAGAGCTTTCTTTCAGTGGTATTTGATCACCTGTGCACTTTTTATTTTCCGCTCTATAAACAGACCGAAAAACTAATATTTTTTACTTTCAGCTATAAAAATATATATATAGTAAACTCAAAGTTAGTTAGAAATTTAGGCCAAAATGTATTCTGCTACATGTTTTTGGTAAAAAAAAAATCCCAATAAGTGTATATTTATTGCTTTGTGTGAAAGTTATAACATCTACACGCCATGTTATAGATAATGGAATTTACACAGCTTTTACTCTGACTGCTTATCACATTTCTTGAGGTGCTAAAATACCAGGATAGTACAAACACCCCCAAATGACTCCTTTTCGGAAAGTAGACACCCTAAGCTATCGGCTGAGAAGCATATTAAGTCCAGGGAAGATTTATGTTTTTTTCCACAAGTTTCTGGAAAATTACAAAAATATATATATTTTTTTTTACACAAAGTTGTCCTTTAAATTATTTTTATTTCTCACACAAGCCATGCGTATATGTGGAATTACACCCCAAAATACATTCTGCTACTTCTACCAAGTACGAGTATGGGGATACCACATGTGTGAGACTTTTTGGAAGCCTAGCCACCTACAGGAGCCTGAAATCCAATGACCACTTTTAAAGCCTGAAGGTGCGTAACCTCCTCATTTCACTTCCTCGTTTCCTAGTTTCGAAGCCCTGAAATGCAAGGACAGCACCAACCAAATGACACCTTTTTGGAAAGTAGATACCTCAAGGAATTTAAAAAGAGTCATGGTGAGTATTTTGCAGATCTAATTTTTTTCTCACAAGGTTTGGAAATATAAAAAAAGAAAAGAAAAAAAATTTTTGTTTTTTTTTTCTTCAATTTCCAAAAACCTGTGGCAACAAAAAATATCTGCAAAATACTCACCATGCTTCTTATCAAATTCCTTTGGGTGTCTACTTTCCAAAAAGGGGTCATTTGAGGTTTGGTTGGTACTATCCTGGCATTTCAGGGCCTCCAAAACTGTGATAGGTAGTCAGGAAGTGTAATGCTTATTGGATTTTGGGGTCCTGTTCTTGGCTAGACTGCCAAAACATCTCTCACATGAGGTACCCCCATACTCGGGAGAAGTAGCAAAATGTATTTTGGGGAATAATTCCACATATATACCCATGGCATGTGTGAGCAATAAATCATTTAAGTGATAGTTTTGTGTAAAAAAAAAGTGTTTTTTGTCATTATTCCAAACACGTGTGATAAAAAATAAATGCTTCTATTGATTCAATATGCCTTTCAGCAAGTAGTTTGGGGTGTCTACTTTCCAAAAAGTGGTTGTTTTGAGGGGTGGGGACATTTTATGCCCAGCATTAGAAGATTATGCCACACATCACTCACTCTTCTAACCACCTGAAGATCAAGCCTTTTCTGACACTTTTTGTTCACATGAAAACAAATCAGTATTTTTTGCTAGGAAATTAATTTAAACCCCCAAACATTATATATTTTTTTTAAAGCAAACACCCTAGTGAATAAAATGCTGGGTGCTCACATAGTATTCGCGCAGCCATTTTTCAAAAGCAATTTAAAAAAAAATACACTTTCTTTACTTTTAATACACAAAAGCACAATATATTGGCCAACTATTTGGTAAAATATAAAAGATGATGGTATGCCGAGTAAATAGATACCAAACATGACATGATTTAAAACTGTGCATGCCCCGTGCAATGGTGACAAACTGCATACGTTTTTAATATCCATAGACCACATTTAAAAGCCTTTACAAGCTACCATTTTAGATTTACAGAGGAAGTCTAGTGTTAGAAATACTGCCTTTGATCTGATGTTCACGGCGATACCTCACATGCATGGTGCAATACTGACACAGGGTCAACGCTCCCACACACAAGGGTGATTGTTTTTTTTTTGTTATTTTAATTTTTTTGTATTATTTTTACACTGTCCCTTTTAATTTTTTTTTTTATCACTTTTAATGCTATCACAGGGTATGCAAATATCCCCATAACTTCAATGAGCATTGTCATATATTCTTTTTTGAGACATCTGGGGTTTATCAGACTCTAGATCTCTCCTCTGCCCTTACATTATCTAATCAAACCAAGATCAGATGCTTTCCCAATTTACAAATGGCGCTGTTTATATCCTGCAAGACTGAAGTAATGAAATGCTTGTAGCTTCCGAATCCTTAGGCTATAGAGATGATTATCACCATTCTGGTCTCCAATCAGCTCTATGGTCATCTGGAAGAAACACGGGCTGCATTCTCAGGTTCCCCCAATGGCACAGGACTGCCTGAGAAGGCTGTGGAAGGCAGTGGGGGAGGGGGCATCATCTCCCGCTGCTTTTAAAAGTAATTCTGTAGTTAATTAGCCACTAGGATTGCTTTTACATAAAAGCCAATTGCTGGCAGAAAAAAACGATACCAGGATATTGCCTGCAGCTGTAGGCAGTACATATACTGTGGCAAGACTGCCCCTGTGCCCCTGTGTGGTGCCTGGGGGGACCTTTTGGCATAGTTTACTTTTGGATTCAAGTTCATGTCTTCCCAAAACACAAAGATTCTGAGAACTGGAGGACCAGATTTGGGG